CACATCTGGGAAAATGTCGTTAATAGCCTGTGGTTCGAGAGTGAGATATGTTATCTAGCCTAAAACCCCCTTTACACTGGACGGCGTCCTTTCTACGTCCAGTTTGAGAGTAAAATAAAATAAAATAATACTTAACGTGCCGATCATTAAGCACTCATTCTGCAAGCAAAGCGATGCTTGTGCCTCCTTTCTGAGACCACAGCGATGCCAGTTTCATGGTTGCACAAAGGACGCAGAAAGGACGCCATCTAGTGTAAAGGGTTTTTTAGCAAAGACGAGGGAAAGGCAACCCTGACTGTTACTCTCCAACTGCTATTTATCCAACAAAATGTCTTCAAATTAGCGGATCACCAGCTTCACCATCATACTTCCTCGCATCTTCAGGTCATTATTAGGGCAAAATGTTAATTAAAGTTCTCTCTATGTCATTTGGTGCTATTTACTATATTTGTCGTGCAATTGCTTGCTTGTTGTACGATGGTCCATCGTTCTCCCGGAGGATTGATTGTGAAACGATCACTCTCTGCCCAGCACTGCCGATCCTTGCAGACGATCTCGGTGAAGGACTCTCTACAGATTGCAGATATTCGTGCAACATGATGGAGATCCAAAAGTTAAGGAACTGGCACATACCGGAGGTAAACCTAGTGTTTCATTTAGACAATGTCACAGATTTCCACTCACAGTAGGCACCTTATAGGTTAGTAGGCTGTAATATCGGTTTTCTTATCACAATCATCAAGCAGTGAATAATAGGAACATATATTTTCAAGCTATTATTATTTTATTAGGTGCACATTAGAGTTTTCACATTTGTCGTTTGGTTTGTAACGGCCAAGCGTGCCTCACATTGCCTGTCCCACTTTGACACACACTGATTCGATTCTATTTGCAAGCCTCAAAATCATTATGACTTGAGTTGAACATAACATTCCCATTTGACAAGTATTTCATAACAAACGACCTTTATTGCTGTGGAATATATTTCAGATGTCTACAAAATACATGACGGACAATAGATGTTCAGATTATCAATTTTCAAGAAGCTCAGACTCAAAATGAAAACCTGTCAACTCCATTTTGATGAACTCCGAGCGTCTTCAGAGAGGCGATGCAAGGCATGGATCAGAGCCTGATAATTACTGTATCAGAATTGGTAGAAAAAAGGTGTGATATTTGTTGATTGAAACTAACACTTACATAACATATACAGAATCATTCCTCATTATCAGCACAATCTAGATGAACTCTGCAGAGCTACCGTGATTGCTACGGCCACACTGGAAATTGTGTTAGGTGGGATCTGGCTGTGTGAGACATCGGGATTAAAAGTGGTAAAAGTAAATTTATGTTACAGATTTAATCCATAGAAAGCGGTATTACATGTTGTATGACAACAAAATAATTAATATGTTACACATAATACTCCGGTTGTTCTTAACAAACAGAAAAAAGACCTATTCTGGCACATGTAAACCAAAAGGTATTAGTCTGCTTCCCCGTGATACTAACACTTTATATTACATTACGTTTCCAAATATAATATTGTCCAGTGGCAAAAGTGAGTCTTAGAATAATGGGAGTCCTCATTTTGATGGTTTGGGGCAAGCATTGCATTGAATCGTCTTAGCAAAAAGCAGCACCAAATGTGTTCATGCAGCCGCCAGTTCACGGTTTTATGGCAAAATTATTCCTTGCAAACTATTATCACTTCATCTTTAAACAGTTTGATGCGTGTGAGCACGCGTGCGAGCGTGTGTTTGTGTGTGTGTGAGAGAGAGAGAGAGAGGGAGAGAGAGAGAGAGAGAGAGAGGGTGAATCATTCCGGAAACAACTTGCTGGAATGTGTTAACGGTTGGTGCCAGAAAAATATATTCTGGTTTCATGGTATTGGGTTTGTTCGAAATGTTTCTTCTTGTCTTTATATCCACCGTTCAGAATTGAAAAAAAAAAACAACAATAATAAAAACATTGCTCTATATCAGTTTATTCCAGGTTTCGTCTAACTACAGTCTCCTGTTTTTATTTGTGTAACATATCGTTCTTCCTAAAGCAGCTGTTTTTTAATGTTAGGAGAATCATTTCTGCGTGTTGAAAACTACTTCTTTTTAAAAATTTAAATTGAAATAGTGAATTTTTTTTTCAATTGTAAAATCAGAAAAATTTCTGAAACAAGAAATCTTTAAAAATATGGACTGCCTCCTTAATTTTGAAGCCAGAACGAGTAAATTTAAGGAAATCCAGGAAAAAACCAATAACTGCATCTCAACCCACAATAAGCACATGCATACTTTTACTAATATATAAAGATATAAAAACACCCGAGGAACATTAAGTGATGGTCCATCAGCAAATAAAACACAAAGATCGAGCAACCTATTTGATATTTTTCGAGGATCATTGTGTAGAAGAAATGAAAGTTTCATTAGGTGCGTTGTGTATTTTCTGTACTTCAATTCAGTCAAAGTTCATTCGGTTCTATATTAGTAAGCTCTGCTTAACTTATGAGCATCAGTGTAAGCAACAAATTCAATCTTCAATTGTGCGCAAAGCTTCTCACTTGGAACACTTTGAAAAATGTGGTGGATGAAATTTTCACAACATTTACTTTCACAAAATTTGGACAAATGATGAAACCTAAATATCTAAAAGAAAACTTCTCTATTGAACCATCCAATCCTAAAGTATATAGAAAATAACAAGTTTTAATTAATTGGTGCAACAAAGCGAATTTCTTTGTTGCAGTAAACTGCCCCACACTGTGTCAACAATAATAAAATAAACAGTTTAATAAAAGCTTGAAAACTACCGCAATCAACAAATAGAATATTTACCATTGTTGATGAAGGTAACAATAGAAATTGTTGATCTGAAGATCCTCTTCACGTATGGCTGAAAACGTTCATTATAAATAAAGAAGTATAATATTAAGATTCAATTCAATCCGACTGGTCCCTTTAAAATCATGTCGTTAGATCAGGCCTCATAAACGGATTAGGCGTTTACTAACACTTCCCGCAGATCTTTTAGCACTAACGCCCATGCTAACCACATAACCCACAAATTAACCAACACACCGTACAATTATTGAGCACCATGAAAGCAATACCTAGCACTAACGGTCATCTGCTCTGGCAGTGCTATAGTAAAGCTCGTTAAGCAAAACAAACGCGTTGGAATAAAATTGATAAGGACTCTGAGGAAAAGCACAAATGTGAGCTGCACAGGAGTCTAACGTGTGCAAATGTGAATCACACGTGCAAATATTAAACACGAATGTGCAAAAATGTAAAACACACATCCAAATATGAAACACGCATGTGCAAATATGAAACACACATGCAAAAACGAAACACGCATGTCCAGATGTGGAAAACACTCATGTGCAAACATAAAATACGCGTGTGCAAACATGAAAAACGCATGTGCAAATGTGAAACACGCATGTGCAAATGTGGAACACGCATGTGCAAATGTGAAACACGCATGTGCAAATGTGGAACACGCATGTGCAAATATGGAACACTCATGTGCGAATGTGCTACCCCCCTCCTTTAAAGCCTCACTAAATCCATCCATCCAGAACATCTTAAAAGTTTGCAGTCTGTAATCTTGGTATGGAACTTTTATGTTCCAGTTGTTAGTGTTGAAAATAGAAAAAAAAAAGAGGCATCATCTCAGTTACAAAATTCTCGCTGTACGATATGGTATTTCTACAAAAGCAATACACTGCAACAATTCCTAACCTACTTGCAAACCTTAATGCTACCTGGTGCGTGTTCCAATCAAATAAAGACACTGAGTTTTATGAATATTCTGTATCCAAATAATTGTTGGACATTTCCTTACGGTATTATCATGTCCAAAAAGAAGGCAACACATTATACCTTACTTACAAAATGGGGTATTGTAATACTTAAATTTCAAAATGGACCTCCAAAAATACCTAAAATCGCTTTTGTTATAATATTAAATGTTACAGTATGGTTTTGTGTATAAATAAATAGACGACCGGTTTAATATCCCTATTCCACACCGACTGCGAAATCCACGATATGCCAGGAATCGATTAATCCCAGGGTTCTTGCAAAAGTTATGAGCTATTCGAATTTTTCTCCAGAATTCCCGAATGCAAAAAAGATCTTGTTAATTTCTTTAAAAAATCCATTCTAAGATATCGTTATTGCTCCCTTGTACATTTTAGTACACGATTCTGTAAAGGGGTGACAGAGTTTTTGTATACACTGGTCTTGAGGAAATATTCCTCGAAATTTCGAGAATAGCCAAGATTATACTTATAATCGTGGTTCGTATTCTGTGTGAAATAGGGGCATTAAAGTGATTAACCACGAGAATAAGACAGTGTTGATTATATTAATACTGGTGCATTTAGCATCCGCAACTTTCCATGCTCACGTCTGCCACTGAGTGTATAAAGGGAACGGGACGATAACGGACAACAGTGATTGGTAATATTGTATACTAAATAAATTACTTTGGCATTTAAGAGAGATGTATGTCTTTCTTAAATTTCCTATTTTTATACAATAAACTGATGTATCAAGACACATTACATTCATTGTAACAAAATATATTCCTGCTTAAAATTGCAGTCTCCCAAAATGCAAAAACACGAGGTATGTGTCTAACTGTTCAGGTGTCGTAAGCCAAACATAAAACTGCGATTGTAAAAGCTAATAACAAAAACAATATATCTGAGTTTTAAGAACTTGAAATGGTATCGAAAAGAGTTACAAATTTCGACCCCCCCCCCCCTTCCATCATTTCTCTTTTGTAACGTGCAGACAATGGCGTTTCCGAGCAAATTTTACAATCAATGCCAAAGTAATCTTTTGTCTTGCTTAGCACCATAGAGTGTGTTTCGTTGATTTTATACATGACAGCGTGGCTCTCTAGTTGCCATTGATAAATTATTCAAATCCCTGTTTGAGTATGTTAAAACCGTGTTCGTCATCGAGACATATCTGCGCATGTCCCCTTTATATATCAAGGGTGGGCATGCCGCCAACTAGGTCAGGTTCAACATCGTCATCCACATCAAAACATTCGTTGATATATCCATCCAGGTTGGCAATGGTCAAGTTGAAGTCCTGCAATGGAGACGCGCCGTGCGCCCTCTCGTTCATTAACCAAAACGTGTCAATGAGTCCTTTGCCCTAAAACAAACAAAGCACATTACATGTAACAAAAACTATAGTGTTAGTGACCATGGGGGGGGGGGTGCAAAAATGAGCATGTGCTTCGACGCATTTGGTACTTGTTCTATTTATGATTGAGAGGTTGTGTTGAATGTCTTGAAGCGCATGCACACCACCAAAATGTTAGAAGAAGATTCATCTACAACTATACACCTGCCTAACTGCGCCACAGGTGAAATGGGTTGACGGGGTTAATGGTATCACTATCTTAGGCCATAGATTCCTGGAAATTCACAGGACGTCGAGCAGTTAACATTTCGTTGGCATGGAGAAGAGAGTAAGTAATAATAATCTTTATTGGAATATTGCAAACCGAAGGTTGACGTTATACATATAAATATACTTTATTTATTTATTTATTTACTATTTTTGGTAATCAAATTTCATTTTAAGTCAGAGAAGCCTGGTCATTTTTGGTCCTGTTGCACACTATACAGGTAGTCGCTCTCACCTCCCTGGGGAGCCCGGCTGCCATATTAGGCGCTCAGAGCTAACAAACTAACAAACATTTCTCCTCTGCCAGACCAGGCCCCTGCTTCAACCCCTAAGTGCTGAGTGGCAAGCGGGGAGACAGCAGGTACCGTTTATAAAGGACTGGTATGTCCCCGTACGGGTTTGAACCCACGTCCTCCCGCTCCGGAAGCGGACACTCTAACCACAAGGCCATCGGGTCGGTCAAGCATTTTGCGCATTACTAATATTAACATCTGCCTGTGAGCAGAGACTTAGCGTTCTAATCACACCTAGCAAATAGTTACATGTACATGTATGAAGTACTTTATTTATATGCGTCATTATGTGGCTTATTTATGCAGTTATATATGTAATTGTGTTACTTATTTAATGATGTAGTTAGCTGTTTATGTCAATGATTGTTACTTATTTGTGAATGCGTACATCAATCGATTATAATGGCGCCAATGCATGCAAACTTATCACATGTAAATTATCGGTGAGAAATCGTCCGCAATATCAAGTTGTTACTACACCATTCGAGTACATACTTTGAATTTTCTTTTTATGTCATTTCCGTGCATATGCACCTGCATCATACAAATGAACCGTTTCCTTACCTTGACTGAGATTTTACCTCGATGTGACGTCACAAACCCACACCTGGGGTCCAATAAATCTCGCGTTTGCTCAGAGATTTGGATTCGTCTTGCTGAAAATGGACGTAGAAGTGCTCATTAACATTCACTGAAATCAGAAAATGCATGGTAACAGGATTTGAGAGAGAGAGAGAGAGAGAGAGAGAGAGGAGTAGAACAGCTACCTTTCCCGGTAGATTCCATTCTGGATGCAGTATTCACAGTGTCTCCAAACAGACAGTACCGCGGCATCTTAAGCCCTACCACGCCCGCCGCCACTGGCCCTAGAACAGAAAGTGAACGTAGAATTATTTAAAGACAAATCTGGGGTGTCCCTTACAAGTAATATAACCTGCCAACGACATTCTATCTTCAATGTTCCTTGTTACATTAGGGTCTGAAGTTCTGAATTGTTCCCTCTCAATCTTTGGTTCCACTTGCTGTATTTAAGGCCTTACTCGTAAATTCGAGTACTTGTGTTGATATCTTACCAGAATTTACGCCAATCCTTATCCTTAGCCGCTCTCCAGGCAAATGCGGTATCTCAAAGCTGTTGACCAGTTTCATTAGTTCTAACGCCATCAGTGCAATCTCAGTGGCGTGTTTGTCGGCGTTAGGTTCTGGCAGACCGCTCACTACCATGTAGGCATCTCCAATTGTTTCCACCTTGTACACATCATAGTGGTCAATGCAGCCGTCAAACATACTGAAATTGTTGTGTAAAGGAAATTCATTTAGTTCCGTAGTAATACGCAGACGAGTAGGACTAGCACAAATTATTGGGCTGATTTTGCTCTTAAAGTTAAATGAATAACAATGAGATTTTTACAAAGAGAATTTTACAAAAACACAACAATGGTGTACAATAAAACTGTCAAAATCAGCAGAAATTAGCAGGAATAAGTGATAATTGCCAATACATGTCAATTCCACGTATTTGGCACATGATACACTGTACAAGCTGCTGGACAAGAGGATCCAACGTAACGGAAAGCGATACCAAACAATGCAAAAACGACCTGATTGTTTAAAGGCTATGGAAATGTGTATTCATTCAGGCTAACATGCCCTTGATATTGCGGACGTATGTAAATGTAAAATACTTAGTTTGGTTAAATATCAGTTAAATATTGGTTAAAACTATATAAAAAAGTGGATCGTTTTGTAAGTTTAATACATCATATGTGGAAATTAAACTAACTAATTATTTGCGTGATTTCCTGTATATGTTTTCCTATCTCGAGAAATCACTTTCAAGTACACAGATTTCGAACTACATAAACCAGACAGCTAGGTAGCCGATTTCATAAGCAGAAAGCCTTCTATCATAATCCAGGCACAAGCTGATTTACTGCAAATGTGATTACTTGAAAACAAATATCAGATTAATTCTGCGTTCATGCAAAAAAAAAGCTTATCATCATTTGCATCATTTCTTAAAAACACTCAGCAATTTCCACTAAGCCCCTTCGAGTTATCCCCTCGTGTGATGCCATGTGTAGGTGTATGACAAACCATACAAAAACGTCATTGTTGCTGAGTTGGTGTCAAAATGCTACAGTAATTAGTATACATAAAAGCTGAAATGTCCTTTGAGTCTGCGTCGTAGATTGCGTGATTTCCTGAGATGCTCTGTCATTTCATGACAAAACTGTGTTTCACCCCCATGTCCAATTTTACAAAAACACAACAATGGTGTACAATAAAACTGTCAAAATCAGCAGAAATTAGCAGGAATAAGTGATAATTGCCAATACATGTCAATTCCACGTATTTGGCACATGATACACTGTACAAGCTGCTGGACAAGAGGATCCAACGTAACGGAAAGCGATACCAAACAATGCAAAAACGACCTGATTGTTTAAAGGCTATGGAAATGTGTATTCATTCAAACACGCATGTCAAGCTAGAAGAGGCGCGGAACAATGTTCATTATAACAGTTATGACAAAAATACAAGAAGTTGTCCTTGAATGTCTGACTCTGTAGTGATTTGTAAGTGCTCTATGGAAGACATACCAAATGCTCTATCAGGCACAGATCTCAACAGCGCGCCTATGGTGATAAAGTTAGTGTGTGCAATATTTCCTCCACCCTAGATTTAAACGCAAACATGGATAAGCAAGTCACTTATCACTTTATAATACGCAGAATTTTACACAATTTTTAGAAAGGTATGCTGCCACACTGAATCAGTACATGTATCGGTAAAAATCAAGCGGAACCAGTAGAATTGAAACGTATTCAAAATTCGCTCAACATTTCCAAAATGACCTAAAATCCAAATATCCAAGTTACACGAGAGGCAGAGTGAGCTTCAATGCCGTGAGAATGAATTTTTTATTTATTTTTTTCATATATCTGCGGATATTCGAATTTAGTCCCGCCTCTAGTGTGGCTTCGGCTTGTAAGGCATTTAGCTGTTGACATAGCTTATGGCACAAACCACGCTCTCTCATTTAAAATCACCTGCATTTCTGTCTGGTAGAAAAGGAAAATCAGAGTAATTCTGCGTCCACACAAAACAACAACAACAACAACAACAACAATAATAATAATAATAATTAAAGAAGGTTATCGCCATTTGCAACAAATCCGCTCCTAGCACATAAACATTTAGCAATTTGCAGAGCTGAGAGCCCCTTGTGTGATACCAAGCAGAGTTCACAGGATAAGAGCCACCAGTAGTTTACCTGTATAAAGCGTTCAGCATCCTGATTACTTGTCTGGGGGTGCTTTTGGACGCGATAGCAGTAAAAGAGACAATGTCACTGAAATAGACCGTCACGCTGTCAAAGTACTCCGCCACAACTTCTTTCCTGCAACAAAAACGTTAAATATACGTGTATTGCTCTACAAAAAAAAACTTTTTGGTAACGTCAGACACGCACACATTTTTAACGTCACATCATTGCCGGATATTGTCACCCTTTTGTGCGTCTGTCAACGACTTCTACAAGAATACTTAAGCGTGCACGTAGCGCTGCCGCCATCAGTAGTATAATAATAATAATTGCGTAATAATAAATGCGGACACCAAATGAAATCCCACTGTGCACATGTCACAAAATCTTGTATGCTAAAATCACCCACGGGTAGACCCCTCGTGGCTTATGTATTCCGGCGGTGTGTCATATGTAGGCCTACATGTAAGAACTTATCGCAGTTAATCTACTTATTTTAATTTATGGTATTGCATTGCTTGCTATGTATTGTATTGTATTGGCACAAATTAACTCACTTCTTCTTCAGCTGGTCGGCCACACTGGGAGGCAGCATCCGATGCAATAATGTCTCCGTCCGCTTTTTCTCGCAAGCAAGCTCTTTGGTCTTCTGGGACACCTTCCCAGCGTACACCTTCAGCGTTTTCATAACGGACCGAATACTGGTGATGTACCAGATTGTGGTGGAGGTACACAGGGTGACAGTGAGGCCTAAGACTACTAAATAGATGGCAGACATATGCGAGGAATGCTGTTTTAATGCGTGTAGCCTCAGTGTGATACGTTTTGAACTGTTCTCGAGTAGTTTTTGGAGCAGTGAGATGTAGTTGGTCAGATTCTCAAACCACACCATGCTGTTCTTGTACCTTAAATAAGAAACAGGATAATGTATTGTCATGAAGTATTTGTCTTCATGATTTCTTTAAAAAGAAAATATTCAGATAAGTCATTTAATAGTTGTTGATTGTTTTTGCTACCTCATTCTGTTTACAGTTCAATGAATATAAAAACCTTTATTGATAACACGAATGCCATAATAGACAATATAGGTCCATAATACTGATACCTTTCGTCCAGAGTCATATTGCGGCAGACTTCTTCAAATCTATCACCCAACATGTTCTTCTTCTGTCTTTGGATGTCTGGCACTAGGTACGGGGATTCTGAGTTAAGGAGGTCGTACTGGTCTTTACACTCGGGGTCGTAGTTGAAAGCCAACTGTAATAAGGTATCCACCTGGCCCTCTAGGTTTGAAAACCACACCGAGCTGTCTTTGGTATACCCACACATTGTGAAGAAGGTGGAGCCCAGGGCGCGCTGGAGACCAGCAGCGTCCGTGGCGCGGAGAGTCACTCCTTCAGCGTTGATCAGTGGCCACAATTCACCCTCGGAATGCAACCTGAGCTGCTGCATCCCCCAGTTCATGAATTGTTGGGTAAGTGACGTATAGTACTCGATGTTGCCTTTGATTGTTACCCCTAAACTGTTTGCTGTGTGACGATGCCGCTGCAAGTCCTGTTGAACTTCAAGTTTTACATGTTTGCCTTTCATGATCTTGCTGCCCAGTGTTATCTGAGGAGGCCACTGTGAAAGGTTGGCAAGCTTCAAGTTGGTCTCAGAACGCTGTTTGTCTAAGGTAGCCAAGGCGTCGCTGTTGGAGCCATTGGAACTGAGGAACATTGCTGTCAGGCCTCGTTCCTTCTGCAGGGCCAGTACAAGAGCTGACGCCCCGTTGGTCACGTCAAGACTTCTCTCGGTCTTGATAGCAGAATCCAGACGATTGTAAGACTGACTGAAACTGATACCGACCAAGGTGACTAAAAGACACAGAGGCACTACCATGACGGCTATCAGTTTGCTTGCCTTTGATGATGCCCTCTCCTGGGTGCCGGCCACCAATTCACGCAGGTCGCACTGGCTGGCCTGGGAGACCGGATAGCTCAGCACACGTTGCTCTCTCTGCTCGCTTCTGGCATTGCAGGTGGGTTCTCTCTCATCTACGGGTCTCTCCGACGGAGAGACTGCAGCTAGCTCAAGGGCCATCGCCTCTCTTGTCCAAAAAACTATTGCTTGACACAAAAGCAGTCCTTCCTGGAATGCAATGTGTCTATTTTAATCTTCTCAATCTCTCACTTCCAATAATTGGAAACTCTATCACTATCAACAAGCTCATTTAAAGGTTTAAGAGTTTGCCATACAGCTGTATAACTAAAGCAGCTCATTAACTACAGTAAAAACTGTTGCACTACAAACCCTACAACGTCCTTGTTGTGCATTTCTGTTTAAAGATATATAGAGTAGTGGCATGTGTACATGTGTGTGCATACACAAATATATGGCTATGTCCGTTTTTCGTAAGAAGACTTACAAAACTCTAGTTTGAGAATAAATGTCCAATCGACATGTTGTGCGTGTTACGCTTGCATCTTCAGTGACGAATCTGTACAGACTTGCAATGCTTCAATCGCACGCGAAAAGGCTGTTAAGATTTATGACAATTCACAAACATGGGACGGGTATCAACCATTAATGTTATCCGTGCGATATACAGAGGATAAATGTCGGAAAAGATGACAGTGACGACAGAGGTGGTGCTATATGATTTCTGACCGCAAAGATTGTTTTGAACACAGACATGGGCAACTCCTGTTGTGTTAAGAATTCCACAACATGGTCAACTCCTGTTGTGTTAAGAATTCCATTCTTTGTTTGTTGAAACTAGATACTAAAGTTAGATTCCTAATACGGTTCTTAATATAAGATCGTACGATTTCATCTAAAGACGTGATCTTTGTTATGTAAAACTGCGGCCAGATATCGGATTTTTGATAGAAAACTGCAGATTTCACGTATGATGACGTGACCTTTGTTATGTCAATGCAGGAACGCCCTTTTGACTAGAATTTTCAGAATGCTTTGAGATGTATCTTTGGTCATGCATGCAAAAGGCAATTCATTATATCCAATCGATTTTTTGAGTCCCTTAAGAAGGGTGCAAGCCGAAAGCTCTATCATTGTACCAAACACAGTAGATATTTATAGCTGCATTTTAATCTTACAGTACTTATTTATTTCTTTCATACAAGATCTATACGGTGATTTATGCTGAATCTCGAAAATACGCCCAACGACTGATGTCATCTACGGAGAACTTATCGACTTCTTTGCAAACGGAATGGTGACAGTTTTCTGGGTGAAAATAGAGACTCCATATCTTGTTATCATAAATGAAGTATACACCTAAGGTTTCGATAAACATTGCCTTTGATAATGTAAAAAAAAGTTTAAAAATTTATCATAAAAAATAGAATAATTAAATGGACTAAATGCCGTAAAGGTTGCTGGGCGTTGGCCAATACCCAAAATGATAGAGATATGCCGAAGCGGAACGTTTTGTCCAAATATATCATCGCAATCGATATTTTTATGAGAAATCAATACCTAATTGTGCACAGATGTCCCTGAGGCAAGTGCGCGTTTCGTTGATTGACAGTGTGACGAAGTTGTTGACTATATCTTTTGCTGATACGCGAGGTAGCAAATACAACTCAGTTATAATCTTTCTCATTATTTATTTAACTACAATCCAGTTGCTACCCGCGCCGCTTTATTCATTTCTATTTCTACTTCATGCAATCTTATCTCCGTTCACATTACGCGCAGTTGTACAAATATCATAAGAGCATGTCAATCAACTCAAGTTCCTCTACAAAACTCTCCCCGCTACTTATTCACTCGTGGCTGTCAATTACTAATGTTACAACAGCCACAAATCAGCATTTATTCCGCGTTATCTCATGTCAGTAATTTTTTTGCAGTTTGTGACAAAAGAATATCATTACTCCTATCATTCACCAACTGATGAAACTTTATAAACATTCAGAACCAGGCAGGTAAAACAATACCACTTTGGATTTCCTCAAAGCTGCAAAAATAACAATTGAAATGAGTGTTCATTCTGCATCTTTTGTTTGAGAAAAATTAACTTTACAAGCCATGGCCTAAATGTGCAGCATGCAGTCTCTCTATTAACTGATAACAAATAATATAATAAAAAGACAATAACTTATGATAATAACAATAAATAAATCACCCACTGTTCACGATTAGAAAGCGCCAATATTTCTGATAAGAAAACAATACTTACATACCGGTGGTGTATGAAGAGCTTCAGTTCGAACTAAACGTTAGGTCGTGTCTACGCACGAATATACCCTAATTGTCTTCCTGTCGTATAAAATTACAAACCTACATCTTTATATGGAGAGAGGGACTGGTAACCATGGATACTAATGTGCGGAGTATTATAAAATGTTAATATTTCCTGTGTAGGCACCTCTATCAATTAGCCGTCAACCTGTATACGAGGCTATTGTATGTGGCTATCAATTAAGTCATAAGGCTATTGCGACTCACTTAACATGGCGTAGAAATAGACTTCTATACTCTTCTTGCACTCAGCATCAACTCATATATACACTAGCACAACAACAACTTGTCCACAATCGTGTGACGATAAGGGAGTTGTTTCTTTCCACCAACGTTCTAGGTCTAACTTTGGACTGTCCAAAGTAATGGTTTTGTATTTGCTTACTTAGTTTATAGTTAATCAATCTTAATAAGTTTTTACAATTCACAAAAGAGCAAGTGATAAATAATAATAATAATAATAATAATAATAATAATAATTTATTCGAGCATTAAATGTGACAGTTACATTTGTTAGCCCTCTATACTACAAATAGATAAATAAATAAATAGATAGATAGATATCACTATGGATTACTTCTTATACAGTGTTTAATAATACTTATTACAATTGTAAATAGGTCAATACACTGGGAGAACACACATTTTACTTTTATAGGATTATAGCTATATGTATCTAATGTGCCATGCTTATGGTACATATAATATAGCAGGAAGAGGCTACTTCAGTGTGGCAGATGCTCATTTCTTTTCGAAATTGCCCTCTGGATGTATTTACCAACAGCGTGCAATTCTTTCTCATTTTCTGGGCTTAATATGATTTTAACCTTCTCGTCACTGCTTGCTAGGTGATGCTTGTCACATTTAGGGAATAGTTACAACATGCCCTCCCTCTCTTTTACATCAGAGCAATTAACTTTCTTGATTGCTGTCAAGGAGACTTGTTAAGTGGCAGTGCCTGAGCAGTTATGCAAACAATTAACAGCCATGTAATCAGCCTTTAGATTTCATCACAAGGTGGCAGAGGATCAAATGACTGTTTATTTATCCAAATACATATCTGTGAATATCTTGTGAAAAATCAAGCTGTCGCCCTAATAGAGGCTAGGCCGATAGTTTCTATTGGGAATGAGCCCTAAGCCATTTATAAGCCCAGAGTGTAATGTACTTTAATACTGCAATGTGACATTGGAGATGGTCGGTAATCTCCGTAACTCTGTCAGTAATAAATAGCATAACGTTGATTGCCTTTGACAAAATGTCTTGGCTGCTTGCGGATGAAACCACATAGAATCGCTACGGGTGACGTCACAACCAGTAACTCGACCCTGCAGAGCAGAGGCCATTGCAATTGGCGGTTTCGCAAAACGGATAAAACTCCAAAATTCGTCTTAACTTTTCGATCTGAAATTCGAGCTATTTCAGTTCAAAATAAATCTATAGTAGTTACTTCAGTAAAGTTAAAGTTGTCAGTCGCGCCCCTCCTGTTATAAAACACGCGCTGTACTTAATTTAATAGAGCTAATACTAATTAATATCGTGTCAGTTAAAGTGGAGAAACAATTTGGTCTTCAAGTTTTAACTGATTTTTAAGGTATAGTACTGCTGTGGATCAGGCCCCGGGTGTGGGGTGTTAACATACAATCCAACTGGAGATTTAGAATTCCGCCCCCCCCCCCCCAAAAAAAAAAAAAAAACTTAAAATTACAGGGTTGTTACACATAAGTTACCCCCAGTTCAGGGGCAGTCCAACCCTGCACATGTGCGTATATTTTAAAGTTGTCAGAATTTTAAAGAATATGTTGACTTGCCTTCACGAAGACTTATAACTGGCATGCAGTTGCCGGTAATGTCTGGTTTCCTATTATGGCAATTTAAGGCACATTAATAGCTGTTTACGTTGCTATCAAATTGATGCCTTGGATATAATTGTGATAAGCTCCTTAAATTTGCATGCGGCATTACAAGCTTTTGAATAATTGGTGTCATATAAGATCTGCCCCTACTACAAAAAAAAAAAAAAAAAAAAAAAAAGAACGATACCGACGTAAAATACCGGTGCCGAAATATCGCAAACGAACGGCTCTGACCCACCAAGCGTGTGTTATACCCACAACTTTGAGCGTGTAAAATCACCCTGTTTCCAACGTATGAAAATGAAGATACAAGCTGCTCATGAAATTTTTGTACGAGCTCTAAACATTCCATCTCTTTTCGGGTGTGCGAACGTACATGAACGTTTGCCTGCGTATATGGCGATATTCTTACGAATCCCTAACGTTTGTCTCCCTACTGGTAATTATTCTCATACGTTCATGCTATACGCACGCCAGGTGTGACATTGCCTTAATGACTCGTTGTACTGAGTTCCTTAAGATACCGCGGGGTATATTCTACTCTAAGGGTTCTTATCCGTCTACTGAAGAATCAAGGTTTGGTACATGATTCCCTACTTGGGTTATGCCCGGAGAGAAAAGTAACACAACACCACAGTTCCGATATAAAAACTTAACTCTCTATATCGGAACATTGATAGCTGAATATCTGGGCCATGTTTGATGGCCACGATTGGGACGAAGATACGCTGAATTACTTCTTGAATATTAAATATTATTTTGAATAAACTGTAAAAGAGAGAAAATGTCAGGATTAGGTCCCAAGTCAACGTACTTCCGGATGAGAGGATCACACTCCCCCCCCCCCCCCCCCCCCCATGGTGCTGGCCGTCTATAAGTCAACACCCAATTAGTTATAAAACAGTCTCGTTCGTGGTTCGACACACCAAACAACATTAAAAAAATCAGTAAGGGGGAATATTACAGCACATCTATGTA